GAAGATCGTTCATATGATCGAAACGAGATGAGACGAGACGGGACGAGACGAGACGAAACGAAACGAGACGAAATGGTTTCGTCTCTCTAACCGGATAGAAAGGAAAGGTGGAAATCCGTGAATCAGATTCGATTCAACGATCCGTTAATTCGGTCAATGAATCAAAGCGGTCGTTTGCTTTTAACCTCGGTCACGCGTTCCAACATTGATCTCGATAAAATCCAACTTTTGCTTGCATAACAATTAACGATAAAACTGACACACAAACGTGACGTCCTATTGTATCCTGTAAATCTTATTTATTGACCAAAAAATACCAGTTGCTACGCGTTTTTATAATAATATTATGTTCTTTCTATTGACGAGAGATCTGTTTAATAATGTTATTTTACAAAATCTAATGCCCGATGCATTCGAATGCAAGTTATTGGATTCAACAAAATGAAAAATCATAGTTGAGTTTTTTTTAACGTAACATTTCGAGTGACATGAGATATAGAATTATTTTAAACGTGTCACTAATTCGACAAATAGAAGATTTACTCTCGACACGTCGACTATCCTGAAACGTTCAAACGATCGGAAGAAAATCCAGATATGCTTTCGTGAATGATACCAAGAATACTTCCAGAGTATTTATTTACTAGGTCACAACGATAGTCAAAGCTCAACGACGACTTCTACGTAACACAGAAACACATTGTCGACCATCCGAACGACTAAAAAAAAAAGAAAAAAAAATACAACGACACATTTCTCTTGACGTGCCGATGCTAAAGTCTTTCACGAACGAGGGATGAAAGTTATGGTCACGATGGTTGCTAACGTTATCAATATTTTTCCCCGAACAAAATTTCGATACTAAATCATTTTTTAGTTAATTATCTTTTCAATTCTTTTCAAATATTATTTTCAATATTACGCCAAATTTTGATTAACAAAGTATCGAACGCGTTTAAATCTCAAGTATAGTTCGTAACTATCGAAAAATATTATTCAATACTCGATACCAAATGAACTTTGTATTAATTATCCTTTCGATTCTCACTATTATCGATATTTCAAAGAATATTCGTTAATAAACATTACATTAATTTTTAATTCGTATAAAATAGCCAGAGCAGAGAACATCAAAAAAAGAAATATCAAAGGTTCTTACGAATATAATAAAAATAAAAATATATTATACATGCATACGTAGAAAAAGAATATCGAATGTAAATCTCAATCTTCGTTGTCTTTGTTTAATTAACTGTTTCATCGGTATCGAAAATTGAATAACAAGAACCACTCGCATGTTCTCCAATTGGTTTTCCACTTCCACGTTGCAAAGTTTTATTCGTCTGGGACATCGGACATCAAGGAAAACATGAAGACGCTTTAAAGACATTAACGACTTTCCAATGGATTTTAAAAGGCACCGAATCCCCATTCCTTCCTTCCCCCTCTCCAATTCTTTTCGATAGGGGGTTCTTTTAACTAACCCTCCGAATCGAAGATTCTACCCTTTCTATCTTTTCTCTTTTTTCGTCTATGTCGACTAAAAAAGAATTCTCATCCCTTAGTGTCTTGGACTTCGATACTTTCACCCCCGAAAGAGGAACAAGACTTCATTATCGAAAAATTGATCTTATTAGGTGGAAAAACCTAACGAACTTTTGGGCGTAACTTTTTTATTTTCTATTTAGCCTTATGTCGTTTCCCACGTCTTACAAACGACTAGACTCTTTTCTACCTCCTTTTCTTGCACGTATTTCTTTTTCTTGACTTGTATAACATTGCTGTAAGCATTAATAGGGAAAACTTGACATACAACGTATCGATTATCTGAATTTATTCATTTAACTATCATCTCTTACATTATTTTCTTATTATTGCAAAATATGAATGCGTATTATATAATCTCCTACATTAATTTACATATTTTTTAGGAATATACGGTAAAATAGGAAGAAAAAGAAATACTTTAAATATATATATTCAATTTTTCTAATTCAAATCCAAGGAAAAGTTTGAGAACGTGAAAAGAAACGTATCATATTATGGAGGCAACAAATAAATAGATGAATTCGCTTTTTCGAAATACGTAGCCGCATTCTATCGACCAGTTTAATAGATTCGTTGGACGTTAAAGTACAGGGGGTGAATCTAGGAAAGAAGAATGGAAAAAGATGAACTCTACCCAACCCTAAGTCGAACGGGATCCGTTGAAACGGAGTTGTAGTACATACGTCGAAGTAGTATCAGGCTGAAGGTAATCTCGCTACTACTTCGGGGACTCATTGAAATCCCACGCTAAATTTCAATCTGACGTGTACAAAAGTCGTCCTCTATCCCCGTTACCCACACCCCCTTTCTAGTCTTGCTTTTTTCTGTCTAGGATCATGCGAGTCGCGTTCGTTACAAGCAAACGTTCGTCTCTTTTCGATTCAAGTAAAGTTTCTTGTTATATATACATGTATATATATATCTAACTATTCCTCCTTTCTACTCTATCTAAAAGTCTTTTTAATACCACCTTTATTCGTCCTTCAAACACGCATATACTTTCCACCCAATGTCCATTTCCATTGGTTCCAAACTTGTGCAATATGGTATAGATACACACACATCGCACATTTACATACACACGAATATACGACTAGTATACACATCCCAAAGGTATATATACATACGTGTCTGTTTGTGAATATGTGTATGTATGGGTGCGTATTTGTGTGTGGTGGAGCGTCATCTCAAGCTGTGCAACATCGAAGAGCACCTAATTAAAGTTTGGTCTCGCATACATGGACACAGTTATACACTCATACACACACGGAAAAGCTCCTTCCTTCTAGTCATCGAACGAAGGGATTGAAAATGGTGCCTTCGAGAAAGGAAGGAGAGTTCCTTCTCTCTCTCTTCCACGCCTTGCAACACACCTTCGATCTCGAGTCTAACTACGGAACTCAAGTGATTCTACGGTTACTACTGCGATGCGATGCTTTATTCGTCCTCTTGGTACGTTACTTTAGATTAGAATAATTAAATCAAGAAAATTCGAACAAAAGACAAAAGTGTCATTTTAATCCTTATTTAAATACGTTAAGATTTTAGTTACAAAAAAAATGACTTTTAATCGAGGCAAAAATTTTATTCACAAAGAAACATTTTTTTTTTCCATTGCTTTATTTCTCAAATTAGAATAATTAAATAGAAGACAATTGAAGAAGAAGAAGAAAAGAAGTATAATTTAGTTGTATTTGTTCTTTTTTATATTGCCGTGTTTCTTCTCTTGTTAAGATTAAATTGGAATACGAAGAAATAACTCTCTACGTTGATTAGGTACGAAAAAATGATTTTTATTCGCGACTAACGTTGCTGCGAGAAAGAAAAAGTGACGGAGAGAGATGGAGAGAGAAATAGAGTGAAAAAGATATAAGAAAAGGTGAATTGAAATTGGCGCGTTTACGGATCGATAAATCGCAACGTAGTAGATTGGATTTGCGCGTTGATAATTTTCTCCTGCATTCGACTAGCTAGCGGAAGATGCAGAGAACGGACGATGATAAATTAATAATAGAGCTACGTGGAAAACTCTTGGGAATAATTCGAACAAGCGTGTAACGTTACTTTGCATTCGTTTCTCCGCGTTTTTTTGATATCTCGCTGAAAAATTTCTCACCCCTTTCGTTTTTCTTTTCTTTGCCTCGACTAAAGCGAATAATGTGTAAATAACGAGAAAGAAGAAGACAAAAACTCGTAAACCTTCGTCTTATTACCTTTTTTTATTTTCTTTCATTTTTATTAAGTATTTTTTGTGAGTTACTTCCATATCAAGAAACATAATTCGATTCTTTTCTTTAATCAGAAGAAAAAGAAATGGCGAGAAAATTAAATGAAAATGATATGAAAGATGATTTTGTAATATTCGTATTCACGACTTTTTTTTCCAATATCCTTTAAGAAAAATTCATTCAAAATTGAAGCAGTTCGATTCGAGTAAGAACAGAAAGGATTATTAAAAAATAATCAAATTTTCTTCGGAAATATGTATTTGAAAAGCACAGAATTATAAAGAGATAAAGAAAAAGATTCCGATTAAACAGAATTAAAATCCCAATGTAAATTACGATAGCTTTTGATTAATTATGAACACGTAGTAAACTAATTAATCATACTTTGATAAATCGATCAAATATATGGGGTCAAATCAAAACGTATATGTGGAAAATCGATTTTTTATAACAGAATTTTTCGTAACCTTTCGATAAGAAAGAAATATCTTTTGAATAAAGATTAGAAAAGAAATTTGCAAAAGAATTATTCTTGTAATCTCGTTTGCATAGAGAACGAGTTATGAGAAACGTAACGTCTTAATGTCTCCTGTTAATTTGATCATTGGAAAGGATGTAGGAGTACGTATAATTACGATTATATGCATAGTTTTCCAAAAGAAAAATGATGAAATAGAATCATCCGAGTCATCAATATTATATATAAGCTGAGACATTAATTTTTGATCGAGTTCTATTTGAATGACCATTCTTAAATGTGACCAATTTTTGTCCTAGATAGAAAAACAGAGATTTTGAAAATATCTCATGTCGCGTAAATACATGATTGACACGATCGATCAAAATTAAGTTGTACATTAAGGTGGTTGTTATTTTGCAACTGATAAGTGCATAGATATTTTTGTTCAATTTCAATTGAAACAAAAATACACAAAAATTATCTTCAAATTTCCATTTAATGTCTTAACGTTATAATTAAATCTGAAATAAATACCTTTAGGTGGTATGCTTCGATATCAAGATAAATGATTAAAATTTGAAGATAATTTAATTTGGTTTGAATTTATTTCAGAATAAAAATGTAAAAAGAAAAATAATCGAGGATGCACTGAATGAAAATTGTTTGTAAAAGAGGCCAATAAAAATCACCCTATTGTACATAAATATATAAATTGTATATCGAATAATTATATTTAATAATTATAATGATGAACTTCATATTACCATAGGAGTTGTGAAACTGTTGATGGTGAGGGTCGATGCCGCTTCCTGGGTGGTGGATATCCAGCATGGCTTCCGGTTCGCCCCCGCTTTCAGAGCAGTTGCTCAGAGCTAAAACCAAACCGATAGACACACACCTTGCGTTTAAACTTCACATCATTTTTCTTATCGTCGATCCTTAACGCGTGATCGATCACCCCGCTCTTTTCTTTTTGCTTTATAATTTCTTTCTCTCTCTCTCTCTCTCACTCTCTCTCTCCCTCTCTATCTCTCTCTATCTATCTTTTTCTTATTCTCTTTCTTTTTTTTGTTCGTTGTTTCTATTCATCTCCCATTCTCTGTCCCTTTCTCTCCTTCTCTTTCGCTCTCTCTCTCTCTCGTTTTCTTTTTCAAAACTTCTTCCATCTCTCTAACGACTGGCAAATAAAAATTTATTTCATCAATTTTTCGAATACTTTCACTTTCGAACTAAACGTAGTCAAAATTTATTCGCAAGCGTGAGAAGAAGATTTATTTATTATTTTCGTTTTTATTTTTTAAGGTATTTTTTTTTCGAGAGAGAGAATACATGAAAAATTCATATCAGCTGATCATTCTTGTTTTGCTCTATTTCTTTCTCTTTGAATATCACCTTTTTCTATTTCGTTAAGATTGAACGCGAATACATTCATCGCGGGAAAGAAAAAGAAATGACAAAGCTGGGCCAAAAAGAAAGAATATATCAAGAAAGAAATCATAAAACATAAAGACACAGGGGTTTGTCGCACACAATTTTTAATTAGTTTATAAACACTATTTGAAATTAAAGTTAATTGAATTTCTTTATCCGTGACAGCGTTTTCGTCGTTCGCATAATTTATTTCTCTCTCTCCCTTCCACTTTTTCTCTATCTCTTTCGATATTTAATATAAAATATTTTTTCTTTACAAATGAATAAGAAAAAATAATTGAAGAAAAATTAATGTAAATGTTGTAACGTAAAAGAGAAAAAGAAAACGAAGACGCTGTCACAAGTCGAGTAAATTTTCAAACTTCGCGCTTATAAACATATCGTGATTGATTAAAAGTTTAAGTATAGGAAAGGTAGGTGTTGATTGGATTCGTAGGAAAAATAGAAGAAAAATTCGAATCGAGTAAAACAGGAGGGGGGGGGGGTATCTGTATCATATAAAACGAAACGAATAATATCAAATAAAATAAAATAATATAAAAAAGAGAAGAAAAAACGTTGGGAAAACAAAATAAAGTCCAACAACGTTCAATCGCAGCGAAATAAATGAGATCGATATTCGCGTACAATGTTGTTTTTCGATCAATTTTATTGATAGTATTTAATTTTGTAGTTTACGAATTAAGTTATCCCGATTTGCGGCGTAGAGAAGAAGAAGAGGAAAAAAAAAAGAAGAAAAAGAAGAAGAAAGTACGAGTCTTTTATTGGTGCGTCTGTCTATCCGTTTGGTTGCTTCTCATCGTTTAAAAATATAAACTTATATACGAAGAATACGATCCATATATATATATATATCTTGGAATAATAATTACGAGCAAATATTTAATTCTAAAACAACAAAAACTGACGAAATAAAAGGATTTCAATAATAGTCATTTCTCCATTACTCGTTTCATCTTCTTAGCATGAATTGTCTTCCGTGTAGAGATCGTCATCGATGGTGATCATCTTCGAGGATGATGAAGATCCGAAAAAGAAGAGACGAACAAAAAAAATACACGCGCGAGTATCCTAATTTTCGAACTCTATCATATTCTGAAATTCATTCTCTGAAGCTCGAATCTAACTGATAACGAATGCGATAACGAATGGATTAACCAAGTCCTTTGTCGAAAAACCAAATAGGGAAAAGATAAAAACTAGAAATAGTTATTCTGACAATCCTATATATGCAATGTGATACTAATTCATGATCAAGAGAAATATCAAAAACGCATTTGTAATATTAAAAATATTCTATGCATTTCACCCAGAGAAAAACTCTTTTGTTGTTTACTTTATTTAAAAATTTCGAAGATGATTAAGAAATTGAAAGAATGAAAAGAAAATTTTCGTGATAAATTTGTTCGTATAATTTGATGATCGGAAGTCTTTGAATTTCTTACCTTTTTCTTTAGGGTTGTTTTACGAGTAACGGTCACGTTAAAGCACCGTTCTCTTCTCAACTATCTCTCTCTTCCTCTCCCTCTCTTTCTCATTTTTTCTCATTTTTCTACCACGAAGAATCGTCCTCCCCTTTTTCGTACCAGTCCGTACGTGTGCCGAAGAGAGACGTAGGTAACAGTTACAGAATGACATGTACTACACACATACGCTTTCAAAAACAGCGTCGGCGAACCGGTTCCCAAGTGAGAACCCTTGTGTGTTGTGTTGTGTGTCTACGTAGGGGAAAGACAGCTCGAAAGAGATAGCGAAGGAAACGGAAGGGATGCAAGAAAACGAGTAGGAAAGAGATAGACAGCAAGAGAGAGAAAGACTTGCGTGTAATACGCGTTTTATGTATCTCACGTATAAATGTATATACAAAGGTGTAAAACATGTACGTATGTATGTGCACGTGCTTATATGTACAGAAGTTTACCACATGCACGATTACATCAAAAATAAGCTAGCCAATGGGAATCGTTCTCTTTTAGGGTTTAGGATTTGTACATATATTTCAAAATTATGTTCAATCATTTTCGAAAATTTCTTTAAATATTGTGTGATCACAGGCATGGGGTTCAAACTCGTTTATCTCTGTTAGTGGTTTCCCTTTTAGTCGCCTCTTACGACAAGCAGGGATTACTGAGGGGGTATTCTTACCCGCCTCCCCCACGGCTTTTTATTATTATTATAATATATTATATACTTTATATTAGAATAATATTGTTTTCATTTTCTAAATATTTTGTTCTGCAATTATTCAATGCATTTTTTAATTCATCAAATTATTCGTTTTATTAGTTTGTTTTTTGTTATTAATTAATGCTTATTTCTCTTTTTTATGAGAGCGAACATTGCTTGCATTTTTTGAAAATATTTCTTGTACATTATATATATATATATATATATACGAAAATATTATATAAAAACATTTGATCAATATATTATATTCTTTAAAACGTGCTCGCGAATTGAATAGATTTTTTTCGCAAGATATGCTACGCGTAAAATATTCATATACGCGAGATCCTGTATTCGTTAAAACAATTACCAACACGGAATCACAAAACATATAGTATGTATACATTGTTCATAGATATTTATACACAGGGTGTCCCAGTTTGTTTCCGCTAAATATTACCACCATATTCTATTATATATGAGAAAAAAAAGGAACAAAAATTTTATACAAACATAGGCTCCTAAATGTTTAATTAAAAAGTTATAACAGAAGTATGAAATGATAACGAAAAAATAATCATATCGAGCATATGATTATATGACATTTTTTTCTTATTTTACCGTACTGAAACTACCCCTGAAATTATGCTCACATATTTGGAAACACCTTGTATGCGTTCTACGTTTTCCAATACACTTATTAGAATGCACCTATCAAATATATGCATATTTTAAATCCTGTAGTATTTTACACGTATATAGATATATACATTGATATATGTACATATATATAATACACTTGTTTTATATGGATATATTCATAAATACGAGTTATTCGTTTCTCAAAGATTTCCAAGCAAATGTTCGCACGTATGGCCGAAAAATAATCCAACTTTTAATCTCTTGATACCCTTTTCATCGGATTTCGTGCAACAAATATCAAATGATACAAAAATTAAATAGAAATATAATAAAACCCAGCACGAAAAGAAAAAAGCGAACAAATCATTACCGAAGTTTTGCTTTTTCTCTGATTCATTTTTTATTACCAAGAAGATTACGAGAAAGTTATGGTTAATGATGTTCAAACGAACTATACTTGATACAATTATTGTTTCTACTACATCGTGTTCGCGATAATGTGCACAACAACGACTAACGTTACCAGCTGAATAGAAAACGAAAGAGAGAGAAAAAGGGTATTGCGTTTTATCACGAAGCATTCCATTCCAGTGTCACCTTTCCTTTATCAACGATCTAAAACGAAGTTTAATTTCACTCGTATAGCAATAAGGATACTCTATTCTAAAGGCGTTTCTTTGCAGTAACGATCAGAAACGTATTAACACTCTGTTCCAAATCATTTCTTTTTATATTACATATAAAGTAATCATTTTAATTAACTGTTCTTTCTACTAATTAATTAAATAATGTTTCTATAATAATAAATAAAAATCAAGCATTAACTTCTAATGAAATCTTTTCCCTCAATTTCTCATTTTATATCTCTTTCCTATTTTATTACTATTTTCTTTCCTATTCTTCGTAAGTCTCAACATAAGCTCGTACATGGAATGAAAGAAAAAGAAAAAATTCTTCGTAAAATGAAAATGGGAGCCAAGGTAGATAATTAATTGCAAAGCAAGAAGTGGACCATGACAATGAAGGATATTTCCCAAGTACATTCGAGAACATTTAGCTGTTACTTTCGATATCCTCGCAAAGGAACATTCCGATGAAACAGCTGTGATAGTAAAGGTGTTCATCGATATGACATCTGCTCCCTCGAATCCCCTTCGTCCTCGTGGATTCGAACCAAACTGTACCCACCATTTACCGTGCTTCGTTTTGACCTAAATTGCGTTTCCCTCCCTACGGTGTACGATTGTACCAAAATACACGCGTACGGATTCCCCATTCTCCTTCCTTCCTTTCTCTCTCTCTCTCTCTCTCTCTCTCACTCTCTCTTTTTTTCTCTTTCTTTCTTTCTCTTCTTCTATCGTGAACGGCCATTAGATGGAAAAAATTAAATCGTAAATTGAACATCGACTGCCATCAAAGGACTTTACTACGAACGATTGTAAAATTGAGAGAATTCAATTGTAAATTGAACATCGAACGAGTTCTTTGAAAAATATTCAAGAAAGGTTAAATATCGTTGATTACTTTTACGAATCAAAGTCATTTCGAAAAAATTGGTAATTTCAGAAAAAATTACGTTACAAGACTCGATCGAGCAATCCTTTAATATAAAAAGTAAATATTGACTTTATATATATATATATATATTCTATTTTTATAAAAAATAAATTAATTAAAAAGAAAGACAAAGGTTTATTTTTTAATAATCCAAGGAATATACGAAGATGTAAACGACGAAGATGTAAACGACGAAGACGAAAACGTCGAGGACAATAACGACGATGAAGAACTTGAACGAGATATCCCCTTTCGCTACGAATGGTATCTACCGTTTGGACGAACACTCTGGCAACGCCATGAAATAAACACTGGTAACCATGGATTCTGTTTGTCTTCACGATACACAATGTAACTTCCCTTCACCGAACACGACTAAGTATTTCCTATTGTTTCGTGCACGTCTGAGCCCCTTAGCTTCCTCGAAATTTGTCACACTTCTTCGAAAAATTTACTATTACATTTATTGATTTTTAAAGGAAAACAAAAAACAAGTGAAAATTTGATTAATTCAGTATTTTTTAATCATTTCAAAACAACCTTACCCTTATTATAAATACTGACAAATAATTATTTATATCGAACTAAATATTCATCTTTACTGACTAATTATTTTTACCACAAAATATTGACCTAAAACTTAAAAATTCTGACCAAATAAATAGCAATGAAATTTTATTGGATTGGAAAACAAAAAAGAAAGGAAAAAAATGCAAAAAAACGATCATCATTTTTTCAATCCATTGGAAACTTTCGTTCCGTTCTTCTGAAAATGGAAATCAACCTCGATGAAAAAAAAATACAATAGAATAAAAGTAAAAAATTAAAAAGAAAAAAAAATTAAAAAATGAATGAAGCGATGAGGGTAAAAAATAAAAGAAGAAATACAAGCTAGCACTATGGGGACTTCTCGCTAGCCAAAGACACCCTTGAAGTGGGGTCCGTTGACAATTACTTAGAAACCTTCTGAATTCTTTGAACGTTTCTTCTTTTTTTTCTTTTCTCTCTCTCTCTCTCTCGCTCTCTCTCTCTCTCTCTCTCTCTCTCTCTCTCTCTCTCTATGCATATGTTTCACTCATTCTTTTTTTCTCCATCTCTCTCTTCCACCGATCGCGACAGATGATGTGGGTAGCACGAGGGGTGCTGACGTCATCCCGAGTATAACCGTAAGCACTTACCATCTATCTCTTTCTCTCAAACTATTCTCTGCCTTCTTTTCACTCTTGTCCTCGACTCCTCGAAAAGCAGGTAAATTTTGTATACTAAAATCCGCCAGTATATATGTACGTATATATATATATATATATATATATATATATATGCTTGCTTTCGTAAGTGGATCACCCTTTTTACTTCTAATCTTTCACGCGATACTTTCGATATAAAATAAAAAAATATAAATAAAAAAAGAATGGAAGGGAAAAAGGAAAAGAAAAAAAAAAGTCAATGTCCTAGAGAATATTCTACCATCTGATTTTCAATATCTGATATCCAATAACCAATATATTAAGTTTCTAAACAGGAAGCAATATATATATATATAGAGAGAGAGAGAGAGAGAGAAAAAAGTTCGTCCGATAAGATTCCACCTTTCAAATTACATATTTATATCGCGTATTAATAATCCTTGTTATGTATGACGATAGTGTTACAAGCTTTTAAAAAATGAAATTCTTCCTGCCGCGATCGATCGATTCTAAAACTACTCAGACGAGTTTCTACCTTGGAATTTGAAATACACGAATACACGAACAATTGGGCCAAGTTATGTTCAAAGCTACTAATTCTCAATGATCTGACATTGAGTTAATTTACTCTTTGAAGATTTTTATTTAAAAAAAAAATAGCTTCTATTTCTTTTTATTTGTTAGTTTATGAAAATGTTTCTTAAGTGATTTGTATAATACTGAATTGTATAATTAATTGGTAATTTGAATAATATAAGAGTTATTCGATTATTTTTGTACGAAATGAAGTTATCTATAGAGTGTTAAAGCAATTATTTGTCATTTTGATGGATAGTTGAGATTTCTGCATAACTTGGCCCAATTAATACGTAATTAAATGTACATACTAATTAAAAGAAAAGGAAAAATTGTCGCATGGATGATCCTTATCGCGAGCCGAGTAAAGAAGCGATGGCGATCGAGTCTCGATTAACGACAAATAATCGAGAATCATCTTTTGCACGAGAGAGTTTCAAGGCGATCCTAAAAACACTTGAACGAATGCACCTCTTCGACCCGTTCCTTCGTTCACTCTCACGTACCCTATGACCCAGTTCGACGATCGATAATCAGCGTAAACGCAATTAAATGCGAGAACGATGTGGGTATGCGAACGATGGTCATTACTAGATGAATTTCACCAGGAACGAGAAACAGGTAACACAGAGGAAGGTAATTTACAAAAGTGCATCGTCAACGACGTCGATTGATCCGCTCGCATTCATCCCTTCCACCCCATCAAAACTCCATCTCCTATAAAAACTAATTATTCTCTTTATATACTACATGCATATAGGTATGTATGTTTATACAATACTATGCGTACATATACATATATATGATGAAAATATTTGTCGACGAATTTTACAAAACGTTTCTACTGCTTCGATGAAAAAATACTATTGAACGTTATCGAACACGAATCAATATTTTTGGCAGGCCATTGAATGAATATGATTTTTGTTATCCTTCCTCTTTCTTTCTCTCTCTTTTTAATTAGGACTAAACAAACGTATTATATACCGCGTGTTATAAGCCATATTCATAAAGAATCATAAATGAAAAATCTAATAAGCATAACGGTGTAGGATTTTAAGTGACACTCACTGTACGTGTATTTTATACGCGTATTCTTGCGTGAAACTGTGCTTTCTCTTTCTATTTCTCTTTCATCTATTATATATCTATCATTTTTCTTCTGTACATACACACTCTCCGCTTTAAACGAAACAACGCGGAGAGACTTTGAAACGAGCGAACGAGGAAACAATGGAAAATTCTAATCTCAAGGGCACTGGATCGAACCCTTCCTTCCCTTCTTCTTTTTCTTGTTCCTTTTCTTGTACTTTTTCTTCTTCTTCTTCTTCTTCTCTTTTGGCATTGTCTTGTTCAGGTCGACCCTTTACTACTGTCATCTTTTCTTCGATCCCCACGACTCATCCCACTCTTTATACGGCCCTTAGACAATTCTGTTCTATCTATGAAGGGCTCGAACTAGATGTAGAATAGTTACCACATGCCTCCTCACTCTCTCTCGCTCACTCGCTCTATTTCTCGTTTCCGACACGTTACCTTCATATATACCTCACTCGTAGAGCAAATAAAAATACGGAAGGTCGAGGGTTAGAAGAAAACGGACACGCAAGGCAAACTAATGCAAGTATAGGATAGTTAGTTCTCTCACTATAAAACCGATCCACCACCTCGCGAATTGCAACCTCGAGAATCCCAATATAGTGTGATAAGAAGAACGCGTAAGAAAGAAGCAGTAAAAAATAAAAATGCAAAAGCAAGATGATGATGATGATGATGATGGCAAACCTGGAAGGAAGGAATACGAATAAGACAAAATCGCGTCATGTAGAATGTGTAACTGTGAGGAAGTAGATACTGGTATACTATATGCATATATACATATCCATAAGTAGCCAACAACACGAGAGCTCTTTCTCTTTGTCTCTTTCTCTCTATCTTGATGCATACGTCCTACCCAGAGTGAGTAGAGGAAGTCGCGCGCAGCAGATAAGGAGGACGGACGGCTAGAGGACGGTCGTCAAGGTGCGCTTTGCACGAGGAAGAGAGGGGATGACGACAGCGTGGTGGCGGCATGGCCAACATGGCGTCCCTTAGGAAAGCCGTCGAGGTCGCGTTTGCGCGATTACGATAATACCGCGTGACCGCGATCAATAATCTCTACGCGCTGTGTGTTGTGCCGGGGCAAAGGATGTTCAATTCGAAAAGTGTTATTTCGCGCGTCTATCTCTGAATGATATGGAAGGGAACGCCTCCTCTCCACGTGGATACCACGTGTGCGCTTCCGCCACGTCTCTCCGCGCATCCACGCGCCCCCTCCCTTCAAACCCCAAATACCCCCTGCACAACCGAATCCCACCCCGTACGAATTTCAAATTTTAACGTCAACAGAAACTGTTGACTACTTCCTTCATCGAAGTGGACACTCGGACACAAACAAAAGTCTAGTCTTCTTTCTCTTGGCACTAGAACAACTTTTCATTAGCACACTAAGCGATGATAATTTTATGCAGTCGACGATGGATTATCGTAGACACGTTTAACCATTTCAATGATATTTTTATATTTTTGTTCTATCTTTTTCAAAGTGGTCAGATGAACCCTCGAACATGGAGCATAGGTTAATAATTTGTTTAACGTTTGGACTCCTACGAAGGGCGAATTGTTGCATCGCTGATTAATAGAAATAAAATAAAAGGAAAGGAAATAAAATAGATATCGAGAAGTCGCGATAACGCGAATCGTTGCCCGCGTAATCTTACCGCGAGGTAGCCGCGATAAATAGAAGAAATCCGACGCGACGCTAAAAGAAGACAAGAGACAAGGTGGGACGATGAAGTCGGGATATTCCGGGTGAAGACTAACCTGCTAGCCGCAAGGCCGACATTCTTTGAAACTCCGGCTCCTGCAGCCACTTCCACATTCGTCGAAACGTTTCCCGGCCGCTTTTGAGTTTCGACCAAGGTTTTGGATTACGTAGAAGATCACTGAGCGTTCCCTGACTACGGCATAGTACCCTTTGGGCGAATATCGCCTGAGGTATGCTGTACCTCTTGAGCTCGGCGCTGATCCTCTGTGCCAATTCCTTCGTGTTGATCTCCTCGACCTCGCCAGCACCGTGGCCGGCCGAGGAGACCGTCTTCATGACGACCGACGTGTGTTGCACGTGCTGAGTGTGCGATATAGTCTGTTGCGCCGCTAACGATTGTTGCTGTTGCTGTTGCTGCTGTTGCTGTTGTTGCTGCTGTTGTTGCTGTTGTTGCTGCTGTTGTTGCTGTTGTTGCTGCTGTTGTTGCTGTTGTTGCTGAAGCTGCGTTTGTATGGGCGGGGGCGAGGCCGCCGGCACAGAGTGCGCGGGCGGGGAATGATGCGAGGGCGCGAAAGTGGCGGTCGCCGAGACGGTCGGCGGCGAAGACGGACTAAGAGCGGCGGGACTCTGTTGCAGCCTAGGTAGAAAAGCTTGATCGTAGTGAGGACTCGCGGACTTGTGCGGCGAATTAAGGGCGCTTTGACTGTAAGCGCTCTGGGGCGAAAGAGGACTCGGCTGTAGGCCCGCACCGGGCGAGGGATAATTGTGCGGTGGCGACATTCCCATCGAAGGTATCTTGTCGTACGCGTATGGCGAACCGCCCATACCGAGGCCGATGTTACCGAGGCCGTTGTTCTGCATAACTGCAAAGCTACCGGTTACCCCGCCGGTCGTGTGACCGTATACGAACTTGTCGCTCATCGTTGAAATCGGCGGCAACGGTTGCAACGGCGTAAGCGTCGCGTACGAGGAACCCGGGCTGAAGCCAGGCGGCGACATTCTTTCGGTAACCGACGTCAACGTTTGATAAGTCGGCTCCGGTTGCATCGCCCTGAAGTCCGTCGCGTCGATCATACTCGCGACCGAGACGCTTATCCCCGACGTCGGCGTTAGCTTGCCCGGACTGAGGAGCTCCGAGTCGTCGGCGTCGTCGCGCGAGTCCACGTCCACGTCCTGAGGTGGCACGATCACCGACAGGGACTCCCTCGCGCTGCTCTGTCTACCACCACCACCACCACCACCACCACCGCCACCGCCGACGGCGCCGCCGCCACCACCGCCGCCGTCGCCGCCACCACCACCGATGGCACCTCCACCGCTGCTGGTACTGCTGGTGCTGCTAGTGCTGCTGCTGCTGCTGCTACCACCGCCGCCACCTCCGCCGGTACTACCACTACCGCCGCCTCCACCACCACCTCCACTACCACCACCAACAACAACGACACTACCACCACCTCCACTGCCACTACTACCGCCTCCACTGCCACTACCACCACCACCAGCACTGCCGACGCCGACGCCGACGCCACCACCAGCACCACCACCAGCAACACCAACACCGGCACCACCACCAACACCGTTTCCGTTACCACCGCCTCCGCTACCGATCGTGGGGCCTTCCTGAGACGACGAGAGATCTTCCGCGGCAACGAGATCTCGTTCTTCTTTAACGTCGAGCGCGCCAGCCCTGAGCAATTCGATCGGTATGCTCGCGCACGCGATGTCGGGACTTTGAGAGGCCGACGATGACATACCCTCGATACTACCACCTCCACCGTTGCTACCGCCGCTTCTACCACCTCCAATTTCGTTAACCTCGTGGTGTTGCTGATGGTGGTGGTGAGGATGGTGATGGTGATGTTGTTGTTGTTGTTGTTGTTGTTGTTGTTGTTGTTGTTGTTGTTGTTGTTGTTGTTGCTGCTGCTGTTGTTGGTGGAGATGGTGATGATGGTGCTGGTGATGATGATGGTGATGGTGTCTACCCCCACCAAGAACACTTCCCCTACCACCTTCTCCTCCTCCACCTCTTCCACCACCACCGCCACAATTTCCATTCGAACCACCCCCACTGCCGCTGCGGCCATGCGTAGAGACCGCCGCCGGGGAATCGACCGAGTCCAGTAATTGCTCGCTATGCGATTGATGATCGGCTATGTCCCCTATACCTTCCATTTACGCACATCTAGTTCGGGTAGGCGCGCACTCGCTCGCTGTCGTGACTTAACACACCGCGTGCACCCAACGCTACCAGAATTTTTCTAATTCACCGCGTATTCTCTACTTTTACCACTTTCTCCCCTTTTTCTTCCCCTTTTTCTTCCCCTTCTTTTCCTACTCTTCTCCTTCTCCTTCACCTTCTCCTTGTCTTTCCCAATTACGTGTCCACGTACGCACGCACGCAAGAGGCACGCACGCACGCACAAACTAACCGTTGTTCTCGTATTACGTTAAACTCGAAACGTGCCTCGTCACCGATCTTCTCGTCGTCACTGATCAGCCGGACAAATAACACCTTGGAAACCTTTCAAAGCTCCTGCTCTTGCCACCTTAATGAATTTCGAAGACAACTCTAACGTCGCGCCACCGATGAGAAGATTGATTCTGTTAGACAATGAAGACGGCGCTGTCGATGTTCCTGCTGATAGAATTTCCGTCGACAATTCGCCACAACGGATCGGCATAGAGATGCGGTGATACCACAACAGCGGCATCCACCGTGCGCCCATGACAAACGCGGAACGAGTGAGAACGCGCGCGCACGTTTCGCCGGTCGAAAGAAAGTGTGAATACGCTACGCTCCCTAGCAGTAGTACCGACACCGGCTACGCTTATTCCAAACTCTTAAATATAATACGATCAAAAGACCGACGAGGAAAGAAAGAGAGAGCGAGGTGCTTCTTTGCTGCTAACTCTCTCTCTTTTTCTCTCTTTAACCTTAGAGACAGTACCGGTGAGAGTACTCGATGCCAACCGGTACCCTTGTTTAGGGCCCTTCCGCTTCGCCCCTTTCCTCCGGCAACACACACCACCACCACCACCACACCACTACCACCTGGTCTATTCTACACCAACTGTTCTCGAGTCTTGTGACGGCGTTACCCGCGCGTGCCGTGCTATTCCGTTCCGTTCCTCTTGGTCCAGGTGCGAGTCTATACACTCTGTCCTACTCTCTCTCTTTTTCCACCCCTCTCTTTCTCTTCACATACGGTCTCTCTCCATAAGGGAAAATCATAAACGGAGGAGAATCACCATCACCACCACCACCACAACCACCACCACCACCACCACCTTCCAAACGTCCTCCCTCCCGTACCTGCGCACTTTCCTAGAGGGGAATCGTCCCTACTTCCACGCGTCCACGTCTGTCAATCCCTTCGACACGTATGGGATCCACGTGAAAACTACCCCTTCCGTCCAAAAGTACACACCATTTTGTCGGGCGCGCGCACTCCACCAAATATCTATATATATATTACGTATACAGATATATAATATATATAATAATATATATATATATATCGACCGCGTTACACGAGAGATCGTTCGCTTTGGATAAGTCACTTCCGTCTAATGAAGAAGACACTACTGTGGTACGTGCACGTGTGTGTATGTGACAGATAAAAAAGAAAACATATTCTTTAGATGAACGCGAGTTCGTAAGAGATCCGTATTAACCCGAAGTAAGCCGTTTAGAGCAAAATCCAACGATCGTATGTGACAATGTTAAATAAAACATTAAAAACGAATTCATTTTTTTAATCGTACTGAAATATTTTCTTAGTTTGAATTATTTTAAACATCATACACTGAGATTCAGATAAAAGCACCAACAAAACGCGTGCGTCCCTGCAAAGTGTGACGTTTCCAATCAACCCCACCAGTCTTTTCTCCCTTTCTATCTCTCTTTCTTTTTCTCTTTCTGTATCTGTCTTTTTCTTTGTCCCTGTCCAACTCATCCACTGCTATCACCACCTACCGCCACTACTATTACTACACACCACTACATCAATGACGATGCTACCGGGTAGGACGCTATTCTCGTTTCGTAGACACACGAACACCATCAACGCATAACACCAACGATTACAAGACACACAACGTCGTCGTGGTTGTGGTCGTGGTCGTGGTCGTGGTCGTGGTCGCCGTCGTCGTCGTCATCGTCGTCGCCGTCGTCGTCGTCATCGTCGTCGTCGTCGTCGTCGTCGTCGTCATCGTCGTCGTCGTCGTCGTCGTCGACGCTGGCGTCGGTTACCGCGGCTGCCACCACCACTGACCGGCACCACTAGCGTCAGTCAGCTTTCTATCGATTTTCCAATACCTCGTGACCAACGTTGCTCGATGTGCCCGATACTTCGAGCATAAACATCGACTGGCGTCACCTGTCCTCTCTCTTTCTATCACCCTTCCTCATCGACCACGACTAATAACTGAAAATCAAACCATCGATATTCGTTCATTCGATATTGACCATTCGATCTACACAGATCTTCTTATTTTTCATCTACTCTACTATTTAGATCTCACTCACTGTCTTTTCATAACATTTTTCTTCTTTTCCTCTGGTGTTGATCTTTGATTAGATTGCAAATCGATGAAAATGTAGTTTCTGACTTTTTGACTATCTCATTTTATCTTCACTCGTATTTAATTTGTCTACATTTGTTGCATTCTCTTTTTCTTTTGAAGGAAATATCCGTGCAAAACTCTGCCGAATGAGGTATAAATGTCAAAGGGTAAACGACGAAGTAACGTTTTTGGAAAGTTCTTTCACGCGATACGATCCCGATCGATTAATCAGTTTCTTTCCTCTCTCACAGGAGGAAACAAGCGCACGTCGCGGACGTCGCGAACGTCGCAATGTCCGAAGAATCGATCACCGTCCGGACACGTCAATCGGCTGATCAATAACGACCAACCAACACGAGTTCTCGTCCACCATCTTTAAAAGCCATAATCCCTGCAGTTGCGTCTGCTTTCTCTCTGTCTTCTCTCTCTTCCCTTTCTTTCTATTTTATTGAACTATTGTCAGTGAATATTTGACAGAAAGATCGCGACAATGATGACGCCATAAATGAACGAAACTTCTTACTGACCGCGTTATCTCTATCAATTTTTCTTTCTCTTACTTACACATCCTCACACATAAACACAACACACATTGGTATATAGATACAAAGCCGAAAGAAACTCTTTCAACGTTTGCCGTTTATCGAACTCGGTCCACTTCGATCGTCCTTCGAGCACCGAAATCGAAGAGAGTCGCGAGATCAAAAGGTCGATTCTGGAATCCCTGGCAGCGTAACGCGCATCTCCCTGCGCTGTGTGACGGGGTTGCCCCGATCAGGGTGGGAGCTGCGGGGGGTGACTGAGTGAGTGAGTGAGCGAGTGTCTGTGTATGTGTGTGTGGACGAGAGAGAGAAAGAGAGAGAGAGAGAACCGTTTTCCAAGATGTCTACCACCACTCGCTCGCTTATTCGCGTGCCTTCGCACTTTATGAAACAAACTATCAGTAATTTTCATTACCGATCGATTTTCAAACTTTCCCTTAACAACGACTATCCGATCATACCGTATTTACTATAAAATTAGCAAGTATTCATCGTACATTTAGTATACTAATATGAAGGTATGCCGGAACGTTGATGAAAATAATCAAGTTCGTTCAATAGTCGATACAAAAATCAATGGACACCCCTTAAGTTCCCCGATAGGTATCAAAGTCTATCCTCCAATTGGAATCCGAAATTTTATCGAAACACTTTGTCTCTGTATAAAATTCTTCCTTTTTTATATTTAGTTACTTTATCTTTTCGGTTTAGTTCGATTGTGAGTTCGATCGAGAAATTTCTTCTAAGCTTCCTCCACCACCTTCCACTCTCTCTCTCTCTCTTTCTTTATCTCTCTCTTTATATATATATTTGTATCCTATCTATGACGCTCTCTCTCTATTTTTCCGTTCTCCAGCTTTTCAAAGCTTTTCTAAGAGTAAGCTTATTGTTAGACGTTAAAAAGAAAAAAAACTCGCGCGGAGAAAAAGTCACGCAGCAGCTTCGGCAAGCTATCGTCAACAACCTTCCGCACCTTCCAATTCTCTTTCTCATTCTCTATCTATCTGTCTATCTACCCCTTATATCTTTCTCTTTCTCTCCTTCTCTGTTTTCTTCCTCTAAGGTTCTCTTCTCTCGTACTCTCCGCTGTCTCGAGCGAATTTACGCGCACGCGTGCGCACGCTTGAAAACGCTACACGTTCATACACAGCTTCGTGTCTTTCTGTCTGTCTTTCTGTCTGTCTGTCTGTGTCTCTCTCTTTCTCTCACTCTTTCTTTTTCTTTCTTTCTTCCTCTCTCGGTCTCTTTCACCCTTCTAAGCTACCCTCTCAAGCCCCCCCCCATCTTCCAACCCCACGACGTTGTCACAGAAGCCGGAGCCTTCTCGAAGAAGTTTCTAAGCGCAGTAATAACGCCGCATACATACGTACAATTAAAAAATAATAATAAAAAAGCGTAAATGAGAGACGGAATGAAAATAAAAGAAAAACAATTTCGTTCCATGTAATTAATATAATCGTAACTTTAAGTTGAATTAGCAGAAGAATAAAAATGCGAATGAATAGAAATAAAACAACAAATGCTACGAATAAAATTTGATAAGGGTAGTTAAGAAAAAGCAAAGAAAAGAAAATGGGATTGGTCTTGTGTTCGAATCTCAAAGGACGATCGCAAAAAAAGTTGATGACGTAGAAACGTGTAGACGACGAAGAAGAGGACGAACTCTCTCTTACTCTTTTTCTTTCTCTCCCTCCTATTTCTCCTCTTTCTCCTCTTCTTAGAGAAAACGAGCTTCGCGACGGAGTTGCGCAAATCGCAAATGCGACTACTACTATACCGAGGGATGTAAGGGTGTTCGGTGAAACGGGGAGAATGTTTAGGAGGGCGAGTATATATACTATACATATATACTAAATATATGTATAGTGCAGCCACGCGGAGAATGGATACGAAACGGGAGAGGAACAAGAGGGATGGTAAGCTTGCTCCGCCTATCCCCACTTTCGACGCTCCCCAAGTCCACGGAGTAGGATTTTTCTAACATAACGTATGATTTCACATTAACGACGGACACACTTATGTTTCACGGTCAACCGATGAGAGAAAAAATCATTTTAATACTACGCTAATTTTGTATCGCTTTATCTTTCTCTCTTTCCATGTGTTCTGCCCCCCTACCTTTGTCACGCATTGGATTAGTTTGTGTGATCTTCTCTGCTAATAAGAAAAATACGCGTGGTGTAAGGTAATATTAAGCAAAAGTGGATTGTGGGTTGT